CAAAGGGTTACTTAATTCTCATCCGTCTCAACAAAACAGGAATATCCCAGAATTCGATACAGTCATACTTCTCTTATGTTAACTATATCATTGATTGGCCAAGGGTTCATCTATAATCCTGGGAAATGACCTCTTCTGGAAGTAAAGCGTGGGAACATCGGATATGACCAGTTCCCATGCCAGTGTGTCACCTGTCATTTCTCTTGAATGATGTACACTTTCCTCCAAAAGATTGGAAACAATTGTAGAACAGTAAAACCTGTATATTTGAACACTTGGCTAATCCGAACACTTGGCTAATCCGAACACTTCCTAATTTGAACATTTTTTGGTCCCTTTTTTCTCCGTATTCCATGTTCTTACAAAACACATCTAAATCGTTTGAAAAAACACGTCCCGAGTAATTTCCATTGTTAAGACTTGAGCGGGTGCACCCCAGTTGTCCGAAACCCAGTTGTCCGAAACCCAGTTGTCCGAAACCCAGTTGTCCGAAACCCAGTTGTCCGAAACCCAGTTGTCCGAAACCCAGTTGTCCGAAACCCAGTTTTCCGAAACCCAGTTCTCCGAAACCCAGTTGTCCGAAAAATTTAGTCATAATTTACCAGATAAAGGGGGACGCACCTTAAGCCAGTTTCATGTCATGTATTTGGCAAAATCAATGGCATGGACGCATTCTGATGTAGATCTCTCTCTCACTTTGAATTGCATCCATTACACGGCGTTACCAGAATGACAGGAACGGGGGATTTATTTTACATTGTGATTCTAAAAAAGGTCATCAAAACACAATATATATTACGGAACAGTTGATCTTATCTTATTCAATATATTTTATATAGGCAAAATAAAATGAAACATTTTGAAACCGATAAAATAAGTTAACGCATAAAACTTTAAGAATAAACAGTACACATATTACGTTGTCAAAATGTTTCGTCGCATTTAATTTCTTAGTCTCTGTCTCTTATCAAATCGTAAAATGTAAAAGAACAAAACATTCTAAATGTAATCACTTGGGATGAACTGGAAACGAAGACAGGCTGCCCTCGTATCAAATTGGATGTTCTCCCATTCGCAAGAAGTTTCATTTTCGCCATGTACTCACTTCATCTTTTTGAATTTAATCTCTATTTCTCGAACAGAGTACCTAAATGAAGAATAATTTTTGGTTTCAAAAGATGTACACGTCAACTTTACTCAATAAATGCCCACTGGCTTGGGAAAACTATTTCCCTTTTATGAACGCCCATCACACATTGGAAAAATGTTGTTCCCTCTCAAAAAGCCCCATGGGGCATAAAGAAAATTGGTTTAAAAATTGTAGACCCCTATGTATGTTAATATGTAAACGCCACTTTGCAATGAAAATAGCATAATTTAGCTTTGTTTATTTGAAGATCTGTATCACCTGTATTTTCATCTTTCGACAGTTTTTATTAGGCTAAATACTAGCTTCACGATCACTTTTCATTTGATATTACATCCTAGCACTATGAATAACATTTATAAATTGCCCTGATGTAAATAAAATGAAAAAAGTATTATTTATCAACAGAAATTTAAAATTCACCGGGCGGCTGCCATGGGAAATGTGACTGCAAAAGTATGAGATCGCAGAATTTCTACGGCGAGCGTGGAAAAGCTTTTGGCCGCAGAAATGATAGACCGCACGGTGGCCGTTGGAAATGTGACTGGGGTGTAATTCCCACAAATCGGGGACACATATGCAATCCACGTTATTCTTCAGGAACAGAAAATGCAACCAATGATAAAATAAAAAATTGCATTTTGAATCCGACTGAGTCCTATTGATCCTCATAAATTACCCCCTACTCATACCGTGCGCCTCAATGCTAATGGCGCTGTCACACTTGTCGTGTCCCGTCCCGTCTTTCAACGTACAAAGCATTCAGGCCAAAATTTAAGGAATAAGCTATAGTGAGCTGTTTCAGAACGCCGTCTGAAACGCGTTCTGATTCTGAACCCACTGTATTCATTGGACGGTGGGAGGTCGTCCATGCTTACACTTTCCGTATCTGACCCTATTATCACACCAAACTAGTTCTCACTACGCTCTCGAGAACGGGCTTAAACTGTATGGACGGATTGGAAGTACTTAGAACCGTTTGGGGTCTACTTGCCTACCCGAAAGGGTAGTTCCAAAATTTCCACGTGGTCATCACTTTCTGCAATCACGCGGTCTTCGACCGTTAATTGGAATTTTTGACCTACCAGATGCTTGAAAATCAAGGATTGCGAGTCTGATACTGCACCTTTTTTCTTCCATTATACCATTAAAAGCAAAACAAAATTGCACTTCTGTCAGTGCATTACTTTATTGTAAAGAGTCTCTCGTTCTAGCAGCGTTTTGGTCCGCACTCCCCAGCTGTTAGAAGGCCTTCTTACAGCTGGGGACCAAAATTACGCTGGAAGTAGGAACTCTGTTTAAGATAATAACGTACCATCAGAAAGAGATTTTTGTCATGCTTTGAATGGAACGAGTTTGAAGAAAAACGGTGCAGTATGAGACTCGTAATCCTTGATTTTCAAATATCCGGTACGTCAAAAATTCAAATTAACGGTCGAAGTTAGGACCGCGTGGCAATTATATCGAGTGACAATGTACTAACGACGAACAGGACGTGGGGCAAAGGTTGAACTGTCTCAGAATGTATTGGGAACGAGGTAGAAATAAAGAATTCATATGAACGAGTCATGCAAGATACTAAAGAGATACAAATGCATTTTGATACTCAATTTTTGGGCAATTAAAACTCCCTTTCTGCATTGAGTAGGCTTAGTTATTTATTGTCCGGTGTATAATTTTTAAACATTATCCTAATTTTTCACAAAACTTTTTTTGATTCTGCAATAGTTAATGGTTGACATCTATGGCACACTAAAAACGAATTTTTTTTATGCAGGGTACGTACATGATACAAATCAAATCTTGGCTCTACTACAAACTATTACACACTTACTTCAACAGTTCAATATATCGCAAAACACAGTTTTGATTTTGAACAATATCACCAATGGGAGAAATTCTTAAATCTAAATGTTTGGAAAGGAATACGTTTCTACTAAAACATACAAACCTCTTATATTATGATGAAAAAAGGATAGACATCTGATATGTATAATGCCACATATATAAGTTATACGAAATGAGCATATTTTATTGATTTATCGAAAATTTGGACGAAATCTTAACAGTGGGTGGTACTGAACAACCAAAATCTTCTTTTTAGATATTTTTCAGGGTAGAAATATTATCAATTGATATTGGAAAACATAATTAACCATATTTTATTGAGAAAAGGGAATGAAAAAAATCATCAAATGAATATAATTGTCACGGACGTCCATACGTTATTCTAATGAGATAGATGTTCCTTTCGCCAGAATATTCTCTTCGACTGTGATAATTGTCTAAAATGTTGGCGGCAGTCTTGAATTTTCACCAAGAAGGAGTGCGATTCGTGCTGGACAATGCGGTTCAAAATTTGTAGAATGTCCAAATAAGTCTATGTGCCGAGAATCTAGTAAGAATATATATATGATCGTGAACTTTCGGACCCATTATTGACCGGGCTAACCGATGTCAACGTGATACCAATGTTATGCTGTCCTGATTCGCGAGGTTGCGACAAGATTCGTTACTAAGAAATTTAATTTTTTAATTTTCGGAGAACTGGGTTTCGGAGAACTGAGTTTTCGGAAAACTGGGTTTCGGACAACTGGGTTTCGGAGAACTGGGTTTCGGAAAACTGGGTTTCGGACAACTGGGTTTCGGAGAACTGGGTTTCGGACAACTGGGTTTCGGACAACTGGGTTGACCCCGACTTGAGCACAGTGAATAACTCAAATTTTGGATGGATTTGGTTCAAATTTTATATGCTGTTGCCTGGGTACAAAGGAGCCTTGCCCAAGAAGACATTTTCAAGATGGCCACCATATTACAAAATGGCGGCCATTTTTTGTATAAAAACATTATTTGTGATAACTCAAATCAAAAAAATACTGGTAGACGGATTTTATTCAAACTTTATTAGCTTATGCCTTATGGGTGTAGGATCTCTGCTCGAGAAAGACATTTTCAAGATGGCCACCATATTTCAAAATGGTGGCCATCTTTGATAACTCAAATACCATTTAATGGATATTTGGTTCAGATTTTACATTTTGCCTAGAGACATAAGAACTCTGCTTGAGAAGGGATTTTCAAGATGGCAGCTAAATTTCAAAATGGCTGCGATTTTTCATGAAAGAATGTAACCTTTGATAACTCAAATACCCGTTGACGTATTTGGTTCAAATTCTATATGCTGATGCCTAGAGACATAGAAGTTCTGCTCAAGAAGACATTTTCAAGATGGACACTGCATTTCAAAATGGCCGCCATTTTTCGTAAAAAAACGTAATCATTGATAACTCAAATACCAGTGGATGGATTTGGTTCCAATTTTATATGCTGATGTTTAGGGAAAAGGAGATCTGCTTCAGAAGAAATGTCAAAGGTGTCGGCTGAATTTCAAAATGGCTGCTATTTTTCATAAAAATTGTAATCTTTGATAGCTCAAATATCATTGGACGGATTTACTTTAAATTTTATATACTGATGCCTAGGGATAAAGAAGCTCTGCTTGAGAAGAAATTTTCATGGTGGCTGCTATTTATCGAAATCTCCACCATTTTTCATTAAACATGTAATCCTTGATAACTCAAGTACCAGTTTACAGATTTGGATTAAATTGTATATGCTGATGCCTTGGGACATAGGAGCTCTGGTTAAGGAGAAATCTAAAGATGACAGCTGAATTTCAAAATGGCAACCATGTTTCATGAAAACATAATCTTTGATAATTCAAATACCAGTAGATGGATTTGGCTCAAATTTTTTATGGCCGCTATTTATCAAAACATGTTTTGTTCATTGGGGTTTGCTAGTCTGTGAAATTGCTGTTTTTCTAGTAATTCTGTGTTAAAATAAATTTTAGGTGTTAGCTACTGACATGTCAAAGCATATGAGCTTACTCGCAGACCTGAAGACAATGGTTGAAACTAAAAAAGTGGCTGGATCTGGGGTACTGCTCCTTGATAACTACACAGATAGGATACAGGTAGGTCCAAAATAATGATTAACACGTTTTGCAATACAAGTGCACAAGGCTTTTTCATGACAATTTACACAGTTGCAGTTTACACTTGCTGCTCAACTCAACCCCACGTCAACTCACCCTTAGTCAACTTGACCCCAAGTCAAGTCTACCCTTAGTCAAATTCACCCCAAGTCATCTCAACCCTTAGTCAACTCAACCCCAAGTCATCTCAACCCTTGGTCAACTCAACCCCAAGTCATCTCAACCCTTGGTCAACTCAACCCTTAGTCAACTCGACCCCAAGTCAAGTCAACCCTTAGTCGAATTGACCCCAAGTCATCTCAATCCTTAGTCAACTCGACCCAAAGTCATCTCAACCCTTGGTCAACTCAATCCCAAGTCATCTCAACCCTTGGTCAACTCAACTCTTAGTCAATTCAACCCAAAGTCAAGTCAATCCTTAGTCATCTCAACCCTTAGTCAACTCGACCCAAAGTCATCTCAACCCTTGGTCAACTCAACCTTTAGTCAACATCATCAAACTACATCACATTTGTTTGTTTTCCTCACTTTCCAGACATTGTAAGTACTTGCATTCTAATACTCATAGCATCTCTCTGTTTCACATGAAACATGCTCTGAGATTATGAGGCATGTTCTGTGATCTGAGCACATCAGATGGGAAGAGTTATAATTGTCAATTTCGTTCGGTTTTTTGTGTAGCAAGAAGGAAAAAATATTCTACCATGAAAAATCATCTAAATTAGAAAAAGACATAGGAATTAGCCTTAACTACACTATTTGTGAAGCAGCATTGTATGTATAAGATATTGAAATAACGATTGAGTAACAATAATTGGATAAAATACAGTGCAAGTCTCAAAATTCGATAAAATAATGGCGAGAGACCAAGTGGACGAGTCCAGCGAGTTCCCACCGAGTAATTACAGTAGCATATAATTGAATCAGTATTAATAAAGGGTTTCTGTACTTAACGTTCCTAGCAGGGTTAGGAATTTTTTTTATTTATAACGTTGGATCTGGACGATACATGTGCGTTATTTTCGACGTCAAGTTTTGAGGTTATTTCACATCATAAGAACGTTATGACAACGTTAACTTTTAACGTTAAAATAACGTCGGAAATGATCGATTTAGTGAGAATGAGAACATATTGACATCTTTGTAACGTTTCCTTAACTCACAAATATTTTGAAGCCATTTCCACAATGTTAAAATTCAACCATCCATCGACGTTTTGCTGAATATTTTAATAACGTCAGATCAATACAGTCCATGAACGTCATTATCGTCGTCACGTTTTGAGGTTATTTCAAATCGAAAAAACAATTCGACAACGTTAAATTTTAACGTTAACAATACGTCAGAAATGAACCGACTTATCTTATCGTCTTTGTCATGTTTTTTTCCACCAACAAATATTTTAATATTAAAAGCCTGTTTTGACAACGTTGAATTTTAACTTTTGAGTTACGTCACATATGGACCAACTTAGTAAAAAATCAAACGTTCCTGCTTGTTATGTTTTCCACACTAACAAACTTTACGGACACGTTACAATAAGGTTCTTTTTATACCATCAATAGATGTCTCATGTTTACGTTGCCTCGATGTGTAAAGAAAGAAGATGTGCAATGTCTTCTAGGAACTTATATGCTACTTGACATGGACGTCACTGTTTGCTGGATCGATTATTTTAAAAAGTGCTCTGTCTCGTATAGGGTAAAGTATCGAACAGCAGTGCACTCGGTAGGCTAAGTCTGTCAAGTCAATTGGCTACTATATATCAGGGGAAATGTGGAGTTTTGAAAGTTGGTAAACCTGCTAGGAACGTTAGGTACCCTGTCTACCGGGTACCCAGTCACCCGGTTTTTTACACAAACCCATTAATATAGAATTAGGCCGTTGGGCTTTGTATAAAAAACCTCCTACCTCATACCCACCTACCCACCTATGTGGAACATGATACAGTCATTGAAGGGTTCAATTTTAAAGATTATGAAATCTCAAAATAGCCCAAATTATTAACATTTCTACAATTCCGGCTTTATTTTATGACTTGACAGATCCATAAATAAAGGTATATGGATGTATTTTAATGTGTAATGACCCGAGGGTGCCCCAGGGGAATAAATAACTAACGACCACAAGCATAGGTCCAACAAGCCAGATTAAGAAATTGAAAGAAAGTGTGCTAAATTCGATGCCCCGAGTGGGAATGGAACCCAGCTGGGATGTAGTAGCAACTTGCTGTCAAGGGTCGTTACAAATGCATCTATAATTCATCATAAACTAAGATTTAATAAACTAAGATCTTTAAAGGGATCCAACACCTTACAAAACTTCTTAACGGAGAGGAATAAGGGAAAATGCTTGCCGGATTCTGAATCTGTGTATTTTTTAATGATTTTTCACCGTCTTAGAATTTCAATTTTTTTCTTTTGAAAAAATGAGATTTGCATTGTTTTCCAATTAGACAAATGAGTAAACATGAATAGCTCGAAATCTAACGGTGAGATTTTGTTTTAAAAAATCATGGATATCAAGGCTAAATATAGCTATACAATAAACATAAAAAAGCAATGCTTGGACTCTTCATATTCACACAAAAAATTAATTAGTAAATGAGGTTTGATATTTGTGAGAATAAGTTGTACGAGTCGCAATGCTCTACAAACACCAGACTACAGGGTGGATTAGGATCAATGACACACATAAAAATTAATTTAAAAATATTTCATGATAATTATCTCAAACAAGAGCAGTTAGCGAAGGATACATTTCATTACACTCAATAAATAGTTATCACTTTTGACTATATATACATATCTCATGGGAATGTATTTCCATCTGCTCAAGATATCATATTTTAGCTTCGAAAATCACAATCCTTGGATAATACATTTGTCTCAGAATAATAGGCCACCCTGTAGCAATGTAGCTTTCACTTGAAGTGTACCCTTGAGAATAATGAACTTACTTTCAAATTTGTCTTGCTTTTGTGGTGTATGTGGCTTTTTAGCAATCTGCCACGCTCATTTCTTTCCAGAACCATCTTGTTCACATGTAACACTAGGCTATACGCGCATGTATAGACAGATGACATAGATATACATATAAATTATATACTGCACCTGTATTTACTTACATGGGAATATTCCCTTTGGAAAAATGCAAATGCATGAACATATATTTTCATCTTATATATGACTTCAAGCGAACATATTATTTCATATTTATATTTTCATAGTTAGTCTAACATAAATAATAGATCCATGAGAACAATATTCTTTGTTTTCTTAAAAATTGATGGGTTTACTGTGAATTCAATAAATTACAATTTGCAAGGGGTAAGTATACTGTATGACCTTAGTTGCAAAGTACTGTTTATATATGCAGCTCAATAGCATAAAATATGTTGAATGAAGCATATGGTATGGATTAGTCGTGTGACACACAAACTGACCAATACATGAGGGTATTAGCTACTTTTCACATAAACCAAAGGAGGACAGTGCTTTTATTTCAACTGGGAGCTTACCTCCACACGACTGATCATGTGACCATGGTGTTGGGTCCCTTTAAAATTGAACCCTTCAAAGACTGTATCATGTCCCACTTACGTGGGTAGGTATGAGGTAGGAGGTTTTTTATACAAAGCCGTTTAAATAGAGAAAACTAAATAACTTAACAAAATCCTGATGCAAAGACAAACTGGCTTTCCAGTGTATGTACTTTTGTAGAATCAATATTAGAAAAATGAACTTTTTTAAGAATACTGGGTCAAATATGGGGCAGTCTTGTCACATTCCCCTGTGTTTTGTATCACAATTTCTTCTAAGATCAAATTACTTTTATTGGACTATGAATGGCTTAGATAGTTGTCAGTTGTCAATTCTTTTTTGTATGATGGATTCTCAAGAAACAGCAGTTTGTCTTATTTTCTCGAGGCAAATCTTTGCTCATTAATATTCATCCCCTTGTTTATATCATGTTTATATTGAATCACTCTTAAATACATTGTCCATTTTTTATTATATTTTTAGGTATTGCAAAATATGGTTCACTGCTCAGATTTGAGTAACCCAACAAAACCACTGGACATATACTGTGAGTGGACGAGACGAATAATGGAAGAATTCTTCAAACAGGGAGATATTGAACGAGAACGAGGGCTGGAGATCAGTCCAATGTGTGACCGGCATAATTCTACAATTGAGAGGACACAGGTCAGTAGACAGTGTAGTTATCCCACCGAACGAAGTTCGAGGGGGATATAGGCAGGGCTGTCAACTTGGGACCACCTAATATGAGTGACTTACAAATGTTGGACACCTAAGTCCAAATCTGAACACTTTTGTCCAAATTTTGAACACCTTTGGCCAACTTTTAAACACCTTTGGCCAAAGTTTGAGCACCTTTGCCAAACTTTGATCACCTCAAATTTTTCGCGATTGCTACGCTCGCGATATCTTCAATGGGGGGGAAGGTACGAAAATTTCCAATTAACATGCGTGACATATACGGGATTCGCGTGACTAATCCGAACAAATTGCTTTCGGTTTTTTTCCGACGTTCGTATTTTTACCGTATCGTAAACATATTTTGACAATTTTTCTACAGAAATATTTTTGCTTGACAATTACCAGGTAAAATGGGTATTTGCGTGACATTTTCTGTAGGAAAGCCGTCTGTCCATCCGTTCGTCCATCTGTTTGTTCGGGCGATAACTCAAAACTGGTCGACGGATTTAATTCAAATTTTATAGGCTTATGCCTTATTGCGATAGAACCTCTGATCAAGAAGGAATTTTCAATATGGCCGCTTAATTTAAATTGGCTACCATTTTTCGTAAAAAAGAAGTTTGATAACTCACATACTACAGTCTGTTAACTGTTAAAAATAATAACAACATAACTTCGACATATGAGTGTTACCTGATGAATGGGACCCTCACGTGCCTTCCAAATGGTAGTACACGAACTCTAGTGTAACTACATCAGCTTATCTTTCCGTCCGATCAACAATAAGTACAGTTATACAAGAAATGTAAACGAAGTGAAAATATTCCCAAAGATTTTCCGAAAGGCATGGCATTCCGGAAGTTATGATACGTTATGGTGTCACTACGGTAAATCATTGAAAAATATTGAAAAAAATTACAAAATTCAAGTTCTGGTGTGAGGTTCCATATCCATCCGCTAAAAGGTATGACACTATAAAGTCCATTTACAAATTTGTGGTTTTGTTCTAAATAACGCCATAGTTGGCTTCTAGGGTACCTAGTATGCCACTATTTCATCGTATCAAAATAAAGAGGAGGAGTCCAACTTTCATTTGAATTACGCCCAATTGAAAAAAGCCTATGGAAAATCATCTCCAATTATCACCTAACTTACTATTGATAATTAGTTGAAAGTTAGGTGTAAAAATTCACATGCAAATGAGCTAATTATCAACTTAATTAACGCTTAATTTGCAACTTAATTAACGATTAACTACCATCAATATGCAAATGAGCTATTTACGTAAATTAGTTGAAAGTTAGTTGTAAGTTTGATGTAAGTTAATCTCTAATTATCACCTAACTTACTATTGATAATTAGTTGAAAGTTAGGTTTAAGTCAGATTTGTGACATCTCAAAAATGACTCGCTTCTTTTTTGCTTCCCTTCACTCAGAGATTTTTGCTTCATCTTGAACTATTTTGTGACGAAATATTCATCTTAATTAGGATCTTTCAGGTCAGACAACATTGAACTTGAACTATTGAAATTTCACAGCAAGAGGAGGGAAAACCTCATGATTCAATTGATGACATACGATTTGCTCCTTCGCACACCTTTTGTCGAAAACGTACCCTCCATCTTGGTTTTTAAAATTTTCAAGTTGACCTAGTTTTAAACCAATCAACGATCGACTCGCTAAACCAATCAGCGACGATGTCATCTCAATACAGATTTACATTATAAGCGTATGTCATCTTTGAACCCTGGGGTTTCTCCCCCTCTTTTTTAAAGCTATTCTATTTTGCAAATTTTTAAGATTCATGAAAAACATGTGAAAACATCATTATTGCCATCAACAACTAAAATCAGAACACAAACATTAGACTATAATGTTACATAATAAGGACGTAACAGATATAATCAAAAATATGCTTTGAAATGTCTGATCTAACAATCACTATTTAGAAGAGCACATTTGGATTACTTGTGAAATATAGGTAACCCATGTTAGTACCTAAATTGCATTCTACAGTTCTAGGATTATAATATTATATGATCTGATTCAAAAAGATTTTTAAATTCATAAACATTTCAGACAGAAGTGTGAATAAGATTTTACATACATTGTATTCATGTTCTACATACCCTTATAATAATGTTGACCAAATTTCATGGTAGTACACGCACCATTCACGTTGTAATTCTCAATTTTATGAGAGAAATATCTCTCACATGTTTTCTTTTTCCACCATCTTGAAATTAAATTTAGGGGGTTTGTATTTCTAAATCATGGGCCTAATTTACAACTAATTATCATTATAATCATCCTATATGTTAACTATCAACCAATAATCTACTTCAGAACAAAAACGTTTTAATTTACCACTTACTATCACCCTCAAACATTTCATATCTTAATTATCAACTAAAAATCATAAATCAGCATTATTGTAAGTTAATTTACGTTGAACTTGCTACTGATAATTAGGCCATAATTATCATTGATTTAATTAACGCTTAACTTTAATTCCAATTGCCAGCAGAATTGTTGATAATTAGTTGTAAATTAGTTGGTAATAAGTTGGTAATTAGTTTTATTTTTCAATTGGGCGAAAATAGCGATGTAGGTCAAAATAGTTCCGGCGTGAGCATGTTTACTACGCGTTTGCCCGTCATCTCAGAAATGGTAGCAAACGCGAGTTACAATAAATGGACGCTGATATCTCAAAAAGTAACCTGCCTCCCTATAATTTGATGTAGATCAATCGAACCCCTATATGAACAGGTACATTTTGATACATAACACTATGGGGGGGGGTAAGCGTTTTATAGTTGATCACAAACGCCATATGTGCAAAGTATTGTTCTGAATTTTCGAATTTGGTGTTGGATTACGATACTCACACCTTCTGGGGTACATATTGCCAATTTCGAACGAATTAGCCCATACAATGACTATATTTCTGCAATATCCTATACATAACCTTCATCTTGACACTATATTTAACATAGGGTTTGCGTCTAGATTTTTAAATATCACTACGCCAACATAGGGACTCATTTTTAGGTAAAATGCCTGCTTCAACGATGAAAATTAACGAATAAAGTAGTTCCTGTTTACGGGACCATATTCTTGCCAACTTCAATGGTGTGTATAGTAGGTTTAAATGTATGCACTATGGCCATTTGAGGTATGTATGTAAAGCTGAGGCCAAGTACTTTCTAAATGTGCCATTTCTAGAAAAAAATCTCAAGAATATGGTCCCGTAAACAGGAACTACTTTATTCGTTAATTTTCCTCGTTGAAGCAGGGATTTTACATAAAAATTAGTCCCTATGTTGGCGTAGTGATATTTAAAAATCGAGACGCAAACCTTATGTTAAATATAGCGTCAAGATGAAGGTTATGTATATTCATATTTATTGTAATATTTGACCAGATACAACATGCTACTCACATTTAGTGCAATGTATGTATTTATTGTAATATCTGTCTTCTACCATATGCAATTCACATTTCGTGCAATATTTGTATTTATTGTAATATTTGACCATATGCAACATGCTACTCATATTTTGTGCAATATATGTATTTATTATGCAATATCCATCTTACATTGGGTGCAATATATCGTATTGAATGAAATGATTGACAATATGATTCCATGAACTGCTTATTTATGCCAAACTGATTATAAGAGTTGTAATTTGATATTAATGGTTTTAATGTATAAATCTTTACCAGAGACATTATATGTCTCTGTCTTTATGAATGTTGACCCAAGCTGCCCATTGGGGGTAGTAATGGGTGACACTTAGATATAATGTATACTGTATAAGTCGGCACTGGCTGGTGATGTTACAAAATGTTGTTTTTATTATGTATTTTATATGTATATTGTAATATCAGTGACACAAAAATAAACTATTTTAAACTAAACTAAACTGTATAGGATATTGCAGAAATATAGTCATTGTATGGGCTAATTCGTTCAAAAATGGAAATATGTACCCCAGAAGGTGTGAGTATTGTAATCCAACACCAACTTCGAAAATTCAGAACAATACTTTGCACATATGGCGTTTGTGATCAACTATAAAACGCTTACCCCCCCCCCCCCCCATAGTGTTATATATCAAAATGTACCATGTACCTGTTCATATAGGGGTTCGATTGATCTACATCAAATTATAGGGAGGCAGGTTACTTTTTGAGATATCAGCGTACATTTATTGTAACTCGCGTTTGCTACCATTTCTGAGATGACGGGCAAACACGTAGTAAACATGCTCACGCCGGAACTATTTTGACCTACATTGCTATTTTCGTAATTCAAATGAAAGTTGAACTCCTCCTCTTTATTTTGATACAATGAAATAGTGGCATACTAGGTACCCTAGAAGCCAACTATGGCGTTATTTAGAACAAAACCACAAATTTGTAAATGGACTTTATAGTGTCATACCTTTTAGCGGATGGATATGGAACCTCACACCAGAACTTGAATTTTGTGATTTTTTTCAATATTTTTCAATGATTTACCGTAGTGACACCATAACGTATCATAACTTCCGGATTGACATGCCTTCGGAAAATTTTGGGGAATATTTCCACTTCATTTACATTTCTTGTATAACTGTACTTATTGTTGATCGGACGGAAGAATAAGCTGATGTAGTTACACTAGAGTTCGTGTACTACCATTTGGAAGGCACGTGAGGGTCCCATTCATCAGGTAACACTCATATGTCGAAGTTATGTTGTTATTATTTTTAACAGTTAACAGACTGTAGTTGACGGATTTGGTTCAAATTTTATACTATGATGCCTAGGGACAAAGGAGCAATTGCTGGAGAAGAGATTTTTAAGATGGATTGTAAGGCCTGTGGGTGGCAATGAAATATAACAGTAGAAATGTAGTTAAAATGTCTTCTAAAATATCTATTTGAAATACTCTCACAGTCACAAACTCTAGGCAACACTAACTAGTAAAGGGACAA